GGAGGGGGCTCTGCCCGGCTGGCCGCTCGCCCGAGAGACGCCCCGAGGCGGCGTTTGCAGCCGGGCAGGGGCCGAGAGAGGCTTTGCGGCGCTGGAAAAGGAGGAGCTGCCGGCGCACTTTGGCCGGAGCATCTTGCTGCCGAAATATTCGGAGGACGGAGCAACTCCTTGGCTGCGTCTCTCCCCAGCCGGGTCGCCCTCGCATGCGCTGGGGGCTGCGAACGGACCCCCCCGAGGGAGGAGCCCTCCCTTCAAATGGACCAAAAACCAGCACCGACCTCCCCAAACCGCTGCCCGGCCGTCAGCCGCACTCCCGAGCATCCCGCGTGCTCCCCGACGGCCTCCCAAAATCGGCGGTGCCCTCGAATATGGACCTCGAGAGCTGCCGGGAGGGGGTGGATTTCTTTGGAAGGCGGTTTTTGGTTGAGCAGGGGGGAAATGGAGACGGGGTTGATAAAGTGCCGGCACGGCGCGGTTTCTCTCGGCGTGTGTGGTTTTTCTGTTGGGTTTCGGAGGGATTGTGGTATATTGCACCCGGGCTGAAACGCTTCCAATGAGAAGGAGAAAGGGAGAAATAACAGCAGAAAAAGGAATTGTTATTCTATATGTTTTTTCCTTCCATCTCTTGTCAAGCAGAGTAAATCTCTCCCGTCTCTCCGCTGGGCGCGGAGGGGTGGCCAGGTTTGGCGAGTGGTTTTTCAGCCTCTAAGGTCTGAGGTCAGGCCCAGGCTGAGAGTCAGCCCCTGAAGGTCCAACGTGATGGGGGTCAGCTTCTCCCACCCGGCCCCTTTTTCCCACCTGAACTAACCCTCGGGGCTGCTCGTAACAGCCCGGCAAGCTCCCGCTCGCTCAACCCAAACCTCGCGACTGGGGATTACCTTTTGCAGCCCCCGGAGTCACGCTTTGACTTGCTCATCCCACAGCGCACTCGTTTGTTCCGCAATCTGGGTGCAGAAGGGGACGTCTCGGCCCTGTGACCAAAGGCAGACATGAACGAGTCCTAATTTAATAATTTTTAAGCCCGACTCCTGTTTCGGGGGAAGGGAGGGGAAAAAGCTCTTTGGACCCTGTCTGCTCGCGGGCTCCTGGCCCAGGCGAGGACCAGCCCTGGGTGAGGTTTGGGGTTTTGGGGGGAGCTGATGCCCACTCTGTGTTCGGGCGGGCGGCAGAGGGAGGGCTGTGATGGGCCGGGGGGCAGAGGACGCCCTGGGGACGGAGCCTCGGCTCTTCTCCGCCTGCAGAACGCTGGCGGACAGCCAGGCGGGGGAATCGGGGGCGTTTTGGGCTGTTTGCTAGCGCCGGTGCCACCACGGGGTGCGCACGGGCAGGGAGGATTCGAGCAGGAAAAAAAAGTGTGAATGAGCCACTTGTCCCTGATTAAGGACAACGCCGTGGCGGTACCCCGCGCCGGCAGCGATTTTCCTTTCTGCTCCTCTGTCTTCTCTGCCTGACCTTGGTTTTGGGACGAGGCTGCGACGTCTCTGTTGTCTCCCCCTCCGCCGCCCCTCGCAGGCGCTGCTCTGGCTCTTTCCCCTGCACGCACCCAGCACCGCTCGCCGATGCACAGATTTTCTTCTCCCGTGCTCCGGCTCTGCCTCCTCCCCACCTTTCCCTCCAGGAGCCCTGACGTCCCATCTGCTGCCGCGCGAGCCGGTGCCATCCCTCCGCGGGCTGACGCACGCCGGCCCCGGGGAGCAGGGCGCCAGCCAGGGCGCTGCTGGGAGCCAGGTAGGTGCGGACAGGCTGGGGCTGCAAGTGGCGGGGGTTGTGCGGGATGAGGTTTACTGAAGGATGAGGAAGGGGGTTTTGGACGGTGTTCACAGCCCGTACTAACAGGCGCTGAGATTTGGGGGAAAATTTGCTTATTGGCTACCTCAGCTAGCGTCTGGGCGGACAGACGGACAGGGAAACACTTCGCTATCTCGCAGCGCCTGCAAACTGCTGAGCCTTTGGCCGGGATGAGAGGAGCGCCTTCCTCCGGTGCTGAAATCACCGGTGGGCAAGACCTGCTGGTGTTCAGCCCCAACGTGGGGTCTGGAGCTTTTTGTTGTGCCCCTCTCCAGCCACTCCTCTTTCCTTCATCCCGGGGCCTGTGTGTGCCACCCCGGGGACCAAAGGTGGCTGCCCGAGCTGTTCCTCGGGGGGAGGTGGGCCCTGTGCGATGCCATCGGTACCCGCTCGCAGCCGTCAAGGAGAGGGGAGAGGGCTGTGTGTGGATGGAGAGGTGCTTTGGAGATGAGGATCGGGAGGCAGAACACCATGTGGGAGACGGGTAAGTTTTGGGGGGTCCAGGAGCAGGGAACGGCTGCAGGAGGGACGGGCGATGCTCGGCGGGAGGCTCCCTCCTGCCTGGGAGCGCGGCACAAAGCCGGCCCGGCCGTACCCTGCCT